TTGTGGGGTCACGGCATTAGAAAGGTTGAGAACCACTGGTCTAGAGGCAGCTGAAGAAAAAGTCCTCTGGCTGCCAGTTGCCTGCCTAGTCTTGGCTGACTGAAATAAGGGGACCTGAGTGAATGGGGCAGATTATATGGGAGGAGACAATCCCGCAAGCAACCTGGACCCAAACCATGTGCGAAATAACTAACTCTTAATCTTAAACACTTTTGTTTCATTGACTATAGTGTAAACCAAAAGCAGACAAGCAAGTCATCTCCAAATCAGTAGGGTAGTGGAATTGGCTAGCTCTTGTGCAAACGCAGTATTGATGGTGGTGGTGGTGGTGGTGTGCCTTCAAGTCATGTCCAACTTATGGTACCCCTAAGGCGACCCTATCATGGGGTTTTCTTGACAAGTTTCTTCAGAGGGGGGGGTTGCCATTGCCATCTTCTTAGGCTGAGAGTGTGTGATTTGCCCAAGATCACTGGGTTTTCATGGTCAAGCTGGGAATTTGTCCCTGGTTTCCAGAGTAGTAGTCTAGATCTCAAACCACTACACCACACTGGCTCTCTTAATATTGGTTGCACCATTGCCATATTTGATCTCTCTTCAGTTACAGCTTAAATGGGTCATATTGATTACACCAGCATATCTGCTAGCAAGGTTTAGAGTCAAATGCAAGCATCCTCTATGATAGCAGCTCTCTGTGGTGGAATACAGAAAGGAAGCAAGAGCAAGTGGGGGGGGGGAACTATAAGAAGGAAGCAAGAAAAAACAGCAGAAAGGACATAGGACGTTATCACACGGGGCCCAATCCAAACAAAATCCAAACAAAATCCCTACCGAAACCGGATTATTTGCCCGTGTTTTCACACGACGTTGCACAGAACCCCGACAGAAAGTGGACAGAAAGTGGAAAGAACCGAGATCTTTTGAAATTCGGTTTCTTGAGGAATTGCAATTGCGCGATGAGGATCATTTCACATTTACCGTAAGTATGATAACCAAATACGTATTGGGGAGCATTTCCCTGTCATTACCCATGGTTCCCGCGAGCATTCCTCTCTCTGCGCATGTGCAGGAGGCTCATTTCTACTACATTTACGGTTTTTTTTCTCTTGTTCAATGCACTTACTGTAAATGCGCAATGAAGGTAATGAAGTTTGCGGAAACAAGGTTTATTTCCCGTTTATTTTCGGGATGCCTCATTTCCACTTTATTTTCAGTTTCTGGGCCATGTGTGATAACGTCTATAGTGTGGGTGAGTGGTGGAGAGAAAGAGCAGGGACAGGGCAACACAGTGGCAATCACAAAAATAGTTTGGGAATGGCACTTGTTGGCTATGGGGTGAATCTTTCCTGCTTCAAATATAAATAGTCTTCTAATATGGGTGATGTAGTGGTTTGAGTGTTAGATCATGAATCTGGAGACCAGGGTTTGAATCCTGGCTTGGCCATGTATACCCACTGGGTGACCTTAGGCAAGTCACACTCACTCAGCCTCATACAGTCCTAATTAATCCTCTTTTTCACTTACTTTTAAAATGTCAGTTTTATTCACCTCCTCCCACTTTGTCCTCAGCTTACTTGAACTGCTGCAAACTTGAGTTCAAGTGCAAAAGTAGTTGCACTCAATAGAGGGGGAAAAACCTCTCCCTAGATCAGGGGTAGGCAACCTAAGGCCCGGGGGCCGGATGCGGCCTGCTGAGGCCTTTGGACCGGCCCCAGGCCAGTCCTGCCGCCGCCACTGCCGCTGCCCCCCCCCCGCCATAATGATATTGATTATTGTTATCACTTGTTCTTGGGGGTTTCTTGGCAGAATCTCCACAGAGGTTTTGCCATGGCTTTTCTAGGGCTGAGAGAGAGTGCATGCATTTTTAAAAAAGTTTTAAATTTTTTAAAAATATTTTTATTGTTATTTATTTATTTGTTTATTTATTTTTGGTGCTTCGGCCCCCAGATGTCTGAGGGACAGCAACCCAGCCCACGGCTCAAAAAGGTTGCCTACCCCTGCCCTAGATTGTCTGTTCTTTCTCATTGATACATTTACCCATATTGACCATACCCAGATTTCATCTATTGAATGCAGGAGAATATGCTCTCATTAGCCATGTTCTGCTTCAAATGGGATGTCTGTCACTAAAGTGACCTTGTCCTGGGGTTTTCTTGGCAATATTGATTCAGAGAGGGCTTGCCATTCCCTGCCCCTAAGGCTGAGACAGTGTGACCTAGAGGTGGTTTTCCTAAATGAGGAGGGACATGCCTGCCAGTCTTTTAATAACTGAAAATAAAAGGAAACTTCTTGAAACAAAGTTCATAGCTTTGCAAAAATCTTGTGATAAGAACTATCTGCTTTAATTAAAGATAAATTGATAGAAAAAATAGAAAATGAATGGTCTCTGGTAAAAATATATATATAGTCTTTGGTAAGAAAGTGTGATTAACAGAACAATGGAATGAATACGCTTTTGTGAACTGGAAGTAAGATACAAATAATAACAAGACTTGAACCATGTGCATTGCTGTATACCAGCTCTGATTTAACAATGGTATAAGTTATAGTGAACGAAGATGAAAAATTAGATCTAAACTTTTATTATAGGAGGATAAGGTGAGGAAGGCCTAGAAGACCTCAAAATAGGTTCCTAAAAAAGAAGTCAGGAATACTAAGGTAATAGAAGGTCAATTCAACTGGGAAGTCTACAATAATTTTTGTACATAAAGTTCAGAAATAATATATGTACATTGTTTGTTAGACATTGTATGTTTGTGTTTTGTGTTTTAATTTTGTATATCATTGTTTAAAAAAATTTAAAAAAATAAGAACAATATGAGTTAATGGGAGTGCCAAAATGTTCAGGGACAACAAAAATCCCTATGAACATTGGCAATTTCTGCTGGAACAGTATCTATAGACACACATTGTCATCACTGTGTTC